ACTGAAGGACTTGTATGCATGCATATAAGCATAACCAATGGACACAAGACACTGGGGGGTAGGGGAGGCCGGGGGAAGGTCAAGGGGGGAAAAAAAGGAGACATATGTACTACTCTTTGTAATAGTTTAAGCAATAAAACAAAATTAAAAAAAAAAACAACCAAAAAAACATTATAATGACCAATAGGCCAGCATTGAGTGTTACAGGCCATCTTGTTTGTTGCTAAAATCCAACATAGAAAGATATAATCCTTTGGGGGAAGTTTGGTAATCTGTATAAAAAAACACTCAAAATATATATATAATTCAATTTCTAGGAGTTTATCCTATGAAAATAATCATAACAACCACAATTTATATGTCAAGTCTATTTGTTATAGAGCCCCCTGGTGAAAACTATCAGGGGAAAACTAGAACTATCCTAATTATCCATTTAAAAAAATATGAGTTAAATGAATCCTGGTACAGTCATAGTAAATAATAATATGTAGCCATATAAAAATCATGTTTTTTTAAAAAAAAAACTTGAAAATTGCACAATCTTTTATTAAGTAAAGAAAAGCAAATTTCAAAACAGTATACATAGCATGAAACTGATTATTAGCGTATGTCAATGCATATGCACATATTAAAAAGACACCACAATGTTAACAATTGTTATCCACAAATAGTATAAAATGAGAAGACTTTAATTTTGTCCTGGTTCATTACTGGATTTTTCAAAGTTTTTATAATGGTTATATAATATATTACTGTTATAATAATACAAATTAAACATAGAGTTACTACTTCATCCAGCAAGTCTACTCTTCGACATATAACCAAGAGAATTAAAAGCGTATGCTCATATGATAACTTGTATATGAATGTTCATAGCATTATTATTCAGAATAGCTCAAAACAAACACACACACACAAAAAAAAAGAAAACAAACCAAATGTCCATCAACTAATGGATGGCTAAGCAAAATAGCAAAATGTGATATATACATACATACAATGGAATATTATTCAGCCATTAAAAGGAACGAAATACTGATTCATGTTACAACCTGGATAGACCTTGAATTCATTATAGTAAGTGAAAGGAGCCTACAAATCATCCATTCAGATGATTTATCTAAAATAGACAAAACCACATAAACCAGAAGTTGATTAGTAGTTTCCAGGGACTGGGCAGAGGAAAGAATGATGAGATACTGCTAACGGGTACAGGGTGATGAAAAATTCCGAAATTAAATAGTAATGATGTTTGCACAACCTTCTAAATATACAAAACCCCGCTGAATTGTACACTTTAAAACTGTGAATTTTGGAGT